CACGGGCTCAAGCAACTTATTTGCCACGGGTAAGGACGTCTTTAATCTCCGTGACATTAATTTTTGTGCTGGGCTACTGTCCATACCTTCAGTTGGAGTATTCCTCCAATGTAAAATAGCTTTCCACGGATCGCTACATTCGCCATGTGCTTTCCTACATAACTTCTTAGCAATCTTTACAGCTGATTCAGCTTTTCCATTCGCTTGCGGATGACGTGGCGATGAAGTAATATGATCAAACTCCCACTCAGCAGCAAATTTCTTGAATTGCAGACTTACAAATTGAGGACCATTATCAGTAATCACTACATTTGGTTGCCCGTAATGTGCAAACTGAGACTTACATCTCTTGATGGTGGTCTCAGCTGACAGGTCTGGAAGGAGGTCAATTTCCCAATAATCCGAATAATGGTCCACTATTATCAAGTGCTCTTTCCCTGCATAATTAAACAAGTCCATACTAATGATCTGCCAGGGTCGGGATGGTATCTCGTGTGACATCATAGTTTCTTTCTGTTGCCGATATGCATATTCATTACAGATGGTACAATTACTGACAAAATCCTCAATTTCGCCTCGCATATTCGGCCAGTACAATGTGTCACGGGCTTGTCTATAGCATGCCTCCCCACCAATATGGCTTGAATGGATGCGCAATAACATCTCCGATCTCAATAACTTTGGCACTATAACTCTTGGACCTTTATACAGAATGCCATCTTGTACAGCGATCTCATCTCTGAAGGACCAGTATTCCCTTACAATCATGGGAACTGCCTCTTTCACATCCGGCCACCCACTCAGCACGATATTCTTTAGTGTCTGTAGGGCCACGTCAGCGTCCATATGTTGCCTCAACTGCTGTAACCGCTGATTCGTAACATTAAGATAATCTGCTTGGTTAATTTCAGCAAAACATATTTGTTCCTGTCGCAGCCAACAAACTGTCTGATATTCATGTTCTCCTCCCGTAGCTGTCTGATCTACTGTGGCTCTACTCAGGGTATCGCTGATATACATTTCACGTCCTGGCTTACAAACCACATCAAGATTATAATGCTGTAAACTGAGCATCATGCTTTGCAAACACTTCGGGGCACACAGAAGAGGCTTTTTGAATATAGTTATTAATGGTTTGTGATCAGTTTCAACTGTAATTATATCTCTACCATAAAGGTAATAATGGAAACACTGGCAAGCAAATACGATACTTAAACATTCTTTCTCGATCTGAGCATAGTTTAACTCTGTTGGCGAAAGCGCTCTGGACGCGTATGCAACTGGCTGACCTTCTTGTAACAGACAGCATCCCAGACCGTTCTTACTTGAGTCACTTTCAATAGTAACCATCTTTGTAACATCATAGTATTTTAATACTGGAGCAGTAGTAACCAAGCGTTTTATCTCTTGCACTGCCTGGTCATGCTTAGGGAGCCAGTGCCAAACTGTGTCTTTATCCAACAGACGTCTCAATGGCTGGCACACCTCAGATAAATGTGGCAAGAATTTTGCTAGATATGTAACAAAGCCAATGAATCTCTGCACTGCTTTAGCATCAGTGGGCGGTGGCATGTTCACAATAGCTCTGATCTTGTCTGGGTCCGCTTTTAACCCTTGTGATGTTAAAATATGTCCATGAAAGCGGACTTCTCGCACCTTAAACTGCAGCTTCTTTATACTGAGCCTCAGCTTCACCTGCTTACACCGCTCCAATAGTGCCATCAATTTCCGTCATGATCATGCTCCGCTTCATCATCAGTGTCGCCAGACCCAACTATAAGGATATCGTCAGCTATAGGCTCAATTCCGCTGAGGCCACTCAATAATTCCTGCTGCTTCCTTTGATACGTCTCTGGTGCTACGGAAACACCAAAGGGCAGTTTAAGCCACCTCTTTCTGCCCCAAGGAGTCCAAAACGTAGTCATATAACTGCTCTCTTCGTCCAGTTTACACTATAGGAAGGCATCCCTGGCATCAACAAGTGTAAAAACCCGTGCCTTAGGCAGCTTGTGCAAAACATCCTCTAACGTTGGCATTGGGTAATGCGATCGCTTCAAAGCCATATTCAAAAACTTGGGATCGATGCAAATTCGGATCTTTTCCAACTTCTTAATCACCACCATATTATTTATCCAGTCGGTTGGCTCGACTACTGAAACAATATGTCCCTCTGCTTCATATTTGTCCAACTGTGCTTTAACCTGTGCCTTAATGGCTATAGGGACATTGCGCGGGGCACTTTGTACTGGAGGGACAGCAGGATCAAGTTGAAAGTGAATCTCTCCTGGAACGGATGCAATAGGGCCCTCAAACACCTCCCTATAAACTTGGAGGACTTGATGCTTTATCAATGGTCTCCCCAAGGCTTTGGAGGAATAGGTTTCAACATTATGCAACTCCCTCGGAATGGTAAATCGCATCAGTCCCAAACGCTCACACGTTGAGCCTGACAGTAATGGCTTTTGATCTACATCCACAATTTCAAATTCCAATTTGTGAGTAACCCCACGTATGTTACACTGTGTATAAAATAAGCCTAGTGACTTCATCAGTTCCCCCGAATATAACTTTAACGTGGCACTACTAGGCTGGAGGGGTGTCTCAGGTGCCAATTTCCTTTTATCCTTTAGGCTCATCACATCGCATGTTGCCCCCGAGTCCAACTGACAAGATTGAGTTATATCATTAAATTGAAGATTAACAAACCACTTTTTGCCTTTTGAATGTACTGCACCAATGCATTCTTTCGTATAGATCGCATCTGTGGTAAACAGCGATACATCCTCTAAGTCCGGCGTTTGCTCAACCATATGCAACTTCCTTGCTGCCAGACACACCCCAGCAAAGTGGTTCAGCCTCCCACACACCCTACAGATTTTACCATACGCTGGACACTGATCTTTCCCACGTGCATGCACATTGTCACAGTATTTACACGGTGTGTGGTTGTCTGCTGACAAATTGCGAGGCTTCTGTTTAAACTGCTGCTGTTGCTGATGATTCCTCACATTTGGCTGGTGCCTGGAAGCTACATTAACACAGTTGGTCTGTTTATCTCGCTCCAACACCATCAGCCGTTTATCTGTAAGTTCAGTAGTCCGACATATTTCTATGGCTAATTGCAAAGTTAAACCATATTCCCTTAATAAACGGCGGCGTGTACTTTCCTTGGCAACACCCAAAACTATTTTATCTCAGATTAGTTCGTCTCTCAGGGAACCATAATCACAGGTTGTTGCTCGTTCCTTTAAGCGTGTTATAAAGGCGTCTATCGTCTCCCCTTCTTCCTGCGGGCAGCTGCCAAAAAGATATCTTTCATATATAACATTCTTATGCAGTCTGAAGAAAGCTTCCAAAGCATCCAAAATAGCCTTAGTATCAGTCCTCTGCTCTTCTGTAAGAGTTAAACTATGCTTATAAACATGAAGACATTCTGCACCCATCAATCTTCTTAATGTGGCAGCTTGTACTGCTGCCGGCTTATCATTTAAGCCTGTCGCCAAAGAGTAATCTTCAAACTCTGCCCTAAAATTTTCCCAATTAGTGCTAGAGTCCTCACTTACTCGCATGGGTTGCGGCAGTGGTATATTATCTGCCATGGTGCTATATTTCTTACTTCAAATGCTGAACTTTCAAGGCCGAACCACTTCTGACACCATGTTTCGGATAAGCTTTTATAAAACAAAGTTAAACTAACAAACAATGCTTATAAAGCATCTTCCAAGGGGAACACCCAGGAACCAGAAACACCTCATAGAGGCAAATAGAGATAAAGATTAAAAGCAACACAAACCCCATAACAGTTGCTGCCAACCTAGCAGTTTGAAAGCACGTAAAAATGCAAGTAGAAAAATAGGGACCACTTCAGTGGGAAAGTAACAGCGTTCCATGCGCCTTCAGCGTTTAGTCATGCTGGCCACATGACCAAGGAATCCAATGGTGGGATTCAAAAATTTTTACTATTGGTTGTGTGGGTGTGGTTTGGTGGGCATGGTTTGGTGGACGTGGCAATGGAAGGATACTGTAAAATCTCCATTCCCACCCTATTCCAGAGGAAGGTTACTGCAAAATCCACATTTCCTCCTAATCAGCTGGGACTCGGGAGGCAGAAAATAGATGGGGGCAGGGCCAGTCAGAGTGGTATTTACCGGTTCTCCAAACTACTCAAAATTTCCACTACCGGTTCTCCAGAACTCGTCAGAACCTGCTGAATACCACCTCTGATGGAATTGTCAGACAGCGCTAGCTCTTCGGCTTAGAAATGGAGATGAGTATCGCCCCGTAGAGTCAGGAACTGACTAGCACGTACGTACGAGGGGAACCTATACCTTTACCTATAGATACCTACCTGAAAAAGTTTCTGTAGGAATATTGGATCCTGCCTCTGTAGAACTGATCTTCCTTCCAGACTTTTTCTTGGTGGGATAAGTACCCCTTCACTATTTTAATTAGAACTCTTCGGGTCTAAGAAATAAAAATTACCTATTACCTATTATGACCTGCCTATCAGTCATAAAAAGGTTACCCTATTAACACCAATTAAATAGGCAGGAAGAAGTCAACCAGTTTTTGAGTTCCACAGGGCTGTTTATCTGGCTGGATGCAACAGTGGAGGTTGGAAAGAGGACAAGGAAAAAAAAAAAGCTGGCTTTTTATTACGGGGCAAAATTGGGCCTCACATGTATTCATACTTTTTAAAAACTTTTGTCTTTATTGATACAATGGATTTGATGTGACTTGGAAGAATCTGTATTCCGTGAAAATGTACAGACAACTTTACGCACAGATATGTATATGTATAAAATATACAAAAGTATGAAGGCTATTGCTTAAAGTATTGTAAGCCGCCCCGAGTCTCCAGAGAAGGGCGGCATATAAAAATAAATAAAAATAAAATAAAAATATGCAGCAGCAAGATTTTTAGGTCCAAGCAGCACCCAGAGGATCAGAGCCCAAGATAAAAATTGTAAATAGAGGTCCTGCATGAAAGAGGTACTCACCTTAGTTTTTCGGAAAGAGAAATAGATGATGCTGGAAACTCCTTTGCTAGCTGGACTGGCTACTAAGAGTTCAGTGGTTTGAGAACTTAGCCTGGTTTCTCCCCTAACCTACAGCTCCACCCTGCTACAGTAAACTCCCTTCTGCCGCCAGCCCAGTTCCAGAGATTTGGTCATTCATTGATAGGGGACGAAAATCCCCATGGCTCTGCTGCCTCCTTTTTTTTTTTACAGGACGGGATCAAGAGCAAATATAAGTCTGGCCACCACCTCCCGCCTTCCTTAGAATTCAAGCGTGCTGTGGGTGCCCATCACCATCTCCAACAGAAGCGCTGCTCAGGTGCGCTTCTGCTGCTGCTTAAACCCAGCCCGGGAAACCACCACAGTCACTTCTGCAGTGCCGCAGTGCCAGGAATATTTTAAAGAAGGTCATCCCCGCCGGGGGTTTGTGTATGGAGAGGAAGAGGAGGATTATTCCCCCCCACCCCCATTCCTATTTATCGATTTCTTCCTTCTCAGACCGTTAAGGTATTTTTTTTTTTTTTTTTAAAAAAACGCTTTTCCATTTTGGGAAGCTGAGGGAAAAAAAAAATCTCCCCGCCGTCAGTCCGCCCTTAGCCTTCCAAACGATGCGGATAAAGGCGCAGCCCTCCCGCCACCTTCTGAAGAGGCTCACGCATTTAAAAAGCCGGGCTCGCCGTAAGTTTTTTATTTTTGGGGGGGGGGGGGGAAAAGCCCCCAAGGTGGGGGCCTCCAAAAACCCCCGGGGGGTTTTTTTCGCGACTCTGAGCTTCGCCGGCGTTTTGCGCCACCCCCCCCCCGGTTCTTTTTAAGGCGAACGGGGGTGTAAAAAGGGGGGGGGGGGAAAAAAAAACAGCGGCATCGCTGCGCAGGACCTGCAGCTGTTTTGTCATTCCTGGCTTGGCAAGCGAAGGAGAGAAAAAAGAAATAAATAAATAAAAAGAAAAAAGAAAGCGGTGTGTGTGGGGGGAGACGCACACCAGTATCTTCAGACTAAAAGAAGGAAGCTTTTTTCTCCCTTCTCGGGAATCGCCCGGGAGCCCCTTTAGCTTTCGATGCATTTTTAATAATAATAAATAAAAAAAGAAAGAGAGAGAGGCGGGGACGAGGGAAGGTCGGAAGCAGCGCAGAGACGAAAGACGCTGAGGCAACGCGCGCAGAAGCCGGCCGGAGAAAACGCTGAGCCTGCGGAAGCGCTGCGTGGGGCAGAAGGGGCGGGAAAGCCAAGCCTTGCCTTTCCCTGCCAAGGATGCCCCACGCGGCCGTAGATCCCTGACTTACCACCGAGAGTTTCCGCCCCACGCTGAGACACGAAAATGCTCACCCTTACCACCCCCTCCCGCCCGGCCCTCGTTGGCGCTTTTTGAACGAACGAAGGAATGAAACTAACCGGGAACGCGCGCGCTCTCTCGTTGCAACGCGTGGACCGCCGCTCGGTTTCTCTCCCACCTACCTCCCGCCGGCCCGAGTGAGATCCGCAGTGGGGTGGACTTGGGCAAGTTGTGCGAGGAGACCAGGGCGGGTTGGTTATATGAATATAATATAATATAACCAAACCGCAGAGGAATAAAAGAACGTCAGCGAAAGGCTTCGCGCCCACATAATAAAATGCATCTTGATGAAACCGTGAGAGAATCTTCTACTGCGTGAGATTCTTCGCAGTATAACGAGGAATCGCCGCGGGTGGCTTGCAGGAGGGGACAAAGGTCAACCTGTGACCCCGCTTTTCCTTGGATGCAACCTACGGTGCAAAACGCCGACACCTCTTACAAATCCTTCCATTTCTCCCTGTCCTGCCAGAGCTGAAGAAGCTTCTTGGATGAGAAGCGAAACGTCTTCAAAGAAAAAAGCAAGAAAGTCCAGTTGCCTCCTGAAAAAGTACTTTATTTATTTATTTATTTTATTTATTCAATTTATATGCCGTCCCTCTCCGAAGACCCAGGGCGGCTCATAATACACTCAAAAAAATCACTATAAAAACACTTAAAAATTAAAAACATTAAAACCCATTCACACCATTCGTGGCTGGATCTCGTCAGATCGTCAAGCGAGATCAACGGCCCCAGGCCTGCCGGAAAAGCCACGTCCACTGCTTTTTGGAAGGCCAATATGGTGGGGATGGTCCAGACCTCAGGAGGTAACTGGTTCCAGAGAGTTTGGGACCACACCTCTTCTAAGGACAATTAAAAATGGCTTGGATTGTGGATTGCTGGCCCATCGATGCTGCTTGGAAGTCTGGCTTCCTTTATTTATTGACTTTACCAAACCAAAGGTGTTGCTTATAGGGCTTCTTTCCAATTGTGAAGCAGTTTACACTCACAACTCAACAAAACTATAAAAATATGTAAACTATAAAAACTATAAAAAATGTATGTATGTATATATATATATATCAATAAGAGCAAACCTCACACCATTCTAGCACTGCAAGAAAAACACTGAGCTCAGCACCAAGGACCCCACAACAATCTTGTAAGGCAGTGTCACTGGCCCAAAGTCAACCACTGAAGGAGCACTTGAAACCAGATCTTCCTGATCCTATATCTAGCAGTATAACAACACACACTGGCTCTCTCTTAACTTCCATCCTTGCTGTATATCAAACAGAAGAGGGAGGAAACTTCACTTTACCAGCATGTACTGATTGGAAGTGCATGAGAAGTATTCCCAGGTCCCAATGGATAGCAGCCAATTTCTTTGAATTTATGCTTCCGCTGGACCATTTTAAGTATAATTCCCTTTTCTTCTTCCAAATCAACAAGTACAAACTAAACAAACAAACTCACCTTCTGAAAAAAAGATTTATCCAGCAAATTGCAAACTGCTTATTAATTTCCATGCTTAAGTGCAAATTTAAGCAATAATTTTTTTGCTGTTTAAGACGCGATACAAGACATCAGATGATTTGTACCTGTATGGTCTGCTACTGCCCAGCTGTCAATTATTGTAGATAGTAATTCCAAGTCCCGGCTTTTTTTCTTTTGGTGTCTTTTATCCTTAGTTCTTATTTGAAGAGCATAACCTTTCAGAGAACTGTTCACTGCAATGTAGCAAATACTGTACTGTTGTACTTCTTGACAGATTGCTGGTATTACATTTCTTTTTGTCATAGTTTATTGTGAAATGTCAGGTGTATAATAAGGCAAAAGTCAATAGACAGAAAAAGTGTCTGTACAGACCTAAAAAGAGGTTGAGCCTACTTCTCATCCAATCCTGGAATCACTTGTACTGGTGCAGGGGTGAAATGCACTACCGGTTCGCACTGGTTCGGGCAAACTGGTAGTGATAAAAGCTACTGGTTTGGGTGAACCGGTAGAAGCTACCAGTTCGTCTGAACTGGTATTTCTGATGATCAGCTGTGTTGCACGGTTTATATTTGCTAGAAAGCAGGAAATCCTGCTTTCTAGTGAAGCTAAATCGTGTGGCACAGCTGTCTCCCCTTCGCTGTTGTACTTACCTTCCCAAGCCTCCTTTTTCCGCGAGAAGCACGTTTGGTACGCACCATGCATGAGTGCACAGCATGTTTTTGGCGTGCAATGTGCATGCACGCACGCAGCTTTTGGCATGCAGTGCACATGTGCGGTCAGCAAACCAGTGGCAATCCGCTGAGGATTTCACCACTGTACTGTTGTACTTATTTGTAGGTTGTCTGACCTCTTCTTATCCGGCTACAATTCTTGAGAGATACAAAATTTCAAGTCAGTAAGAAAGAATATAAACCTACACTCTCATCTCAATAAAACGTAGGGCTGCACTGTATGTTGAAATTTTTATAGGTCCTTATAAGTGGAAGATACGAATGCAATGCCTGGGGTTACTTGACCTTCTGATTTGAAGAAATGTGATACAAGGTTTCTCAGTGATAGACTAGTAATATTACTTTTGATGCTAATATCCTTCTCTGATGACTTCATGAAGTTTTTGAAATAAGGTGACAATGGCTTGCTAGTGTCTGCATGGTCACATCAATGAAGTTTTCCAGGCAACAGTACAGAGATTATTTGTCTTTGCCTGTTTCCAAGATGTATGTTTTCAGATTCCCAGTCTAGTCCACAGCCCAAGGATTTCTCACTGATTTCCCTTCTCAAGTATAATTACTGAGTCCAGAGAAGGTTGGCTAAGGGTTGCCACTACTTATTGAATAGCCTGAAAAAAGGTTCAGGTTAAGGTAAAATAGGCTAACCATTGTATCCAATTACAGTGGGAAAAATCATAGCTGTTTTTTTTAATGCTCTGGGATAAAACATAACACCTCAAATTTCACTTGCTTTCAGTAAGCAATTGAAGAACCAGATGTTCAAACAAATAAGTATGTTCCTGGAGAGAAAATAGATATACATGCACATATATGTTACTTTTTAATTATACGTATATCTATATTTCAAAATTTGTTAATTCTTACTTTATAGAAAATAATTATAGAATAAACATTCTTTTATTTTCCTTCTTTTTATTGTTGTTGTTAGTCGCGAAGTCGTGTCCGACCAATTGCGACCCCATGGACAATGTTTCTTCAGGTCTTCCTGTCCTCTACCATCCTCTGGAGTCCATTTAAGATCACACCGACTGCTTCAGTGACTCCATTCAGCCACCTCATTCTCTGTTGCCCCCTTCTTCTTTTGCCCTCAATCTTTCCCAGCATTATGCTCTTCTCCAGTGAGTCTTTCCTTCTCATTAGGTAGTCAAAGTATTTGAGTTTCATCTTCGGGATCTGGCCTTCTAAAGAGCAGTCAGGGTTGATCTCCTCTAGGACTGACTGGTTTGATTGCCTTGCAGTCCAAAGGACTCGCAGGAGACTTCTCCAGCACCATAGTTCAAAGGCCTCAATTCTTTGGCACTCAGCCTTCCTTATGTTCAACTTTCAAAGTCATACATTGCAACTGGGAAAACTATAGCCTTGGGAAAACCTTTTTTTTATACTAATCTGCTAATTTTAATTTCAAGAAATTATTTTAGAACATATGAGAAACGAGGACAGGAATATGAAGCCTTTTTGTTGTTCTCTGGTTCCTCCCAGAATCCCTCTTGCCTGGAGCACCTCCAATGTGTATTTTGTTATTATTACTATCAAGCAATTGGATGGAAAATATGGAGATGTTGCAGTCTTGAATTTGTAGAGTTTTACTCTGGGGCAGGCTAATATAAACTATTCATATATATCCCATAACTAATGGTACTTACACCTGAGTATTGTACAAGAATATAGAATTTAGGAAATATACCAAAAGGCAAAGATAATTGCTTTCTTTATTGGCCTATTTTACATCTTTCCAAATAAACATAACAAATTCCAATTTCTGATGAATTTCTCATATGTTCCAAAATAATTTCTTGAAACTAAAATTAGCAGATTAGTATAAAAAGATTTTCCCAAGGCTATGGTTTTCCCAGTTGCAATCTATGACTCTGAAAGTTGGACTATAAAGAAGACTGA